GTTGACATCCGAATTTTAAGTCTTGTTCAGCAGAATCCTGTGACTCAGAACATTGCTGAAGAGATTAACTTCATTTTCTGCTTAACTTAATGGGGAAAAACAAATTAATATAACTGTAAGACATTATTTTTTATAAGTTTGACAGAAAGTTAAAGGATTTTTAAAATATGAGAGTATAGGGTATTTATGTATATTAATCTGTGAAATATTAATTGGCAGATATGTGGGATATTTGGGCAGTATTTATTTATTTTTTAAATATTTTTTTATTTATTTCTAGGAGAGAGAGAGAGAGACAGCGTGAGCAGGGGAGGGTCAGAGAGAGAGGGAGACACAGACTCTGAAAAAGGCTCCAGGCTCTGAGCTGGCAGTCAGCACAGAGCCCGACGCGGGGCTCGAACCCACGAACCGCGAGATCATGACCTAAGCGAAAGTCGGACGCTTAACCGACTAAGCCACCCAGGCGCCCCGGGCAGTATTTATTAAAAGGTACAGTTTTCATGCCCTCCCCACTTTATCCCAATTTCTGTTTGTTATATATTTCTTATGTACATTTGCTCAAGAACCAATGTCCAAAGATGTTGATTCATTCTATTAAGCATAGAAACTAATGGGAACTACTGATGTATCCATCAGGAGGAAAGCACTTTAATTAATTATGAAACAAACATATTTTAGAATCCTAGGGAGTAGTTAAAATAATGAGGTGGATTTATCTGTGTTGTCATGAAATGATGCTGCATTCATTTTATTAAGTGACAAAGGCAGGTGGGAGAACAATGTGTATATCACTACCCAGTATATTAAAAGATCACAATATGTTTTTATAGCACATCTATGCATTAAAAAGCTTAAAATTGTCTTTAAAATAATATACACCATGTTTTCTTTTTATTGTAGTTACCTCTGAGGAGAAAGCTTGAGTTTGTAGAGGAACGTGGTAAAGGGAAGGGATAGATTTATGTATGTAGTTGGAAATACTTGCAATGAGAATATATGCACTGTTATTAGCTTTGCCATTAAAAAATTTTTAAATAAGCTTAACATAAATAGTACCTGTTTATTAGCTGGGTAAAATAACTGCTAGCTGATGCAAAACATAAAACATAAAATCTGCATGACTTAACACAGGTTTATTTCTTGTGCATGTAAAATTTGATGTGGTTTGGCAGTGGATCTTCACTAACTGATGACTCAGAGACTTAGGTGCTTCTGGCTTTGTCTTGTAGTTCGACCTCCAGCTTTGCTACTGAATGGAACAAAGGGGGTGGAGGTGGTGTCCTGGATCTCAAATGGGTGGGCCAGGAAATGACAAAGGCTTCTGGCAAGAGTAGTCACCTGATCCTTCCTAACTGCAAGTAGCCTGGGAATGTAGCCTTCCTGTTAATCCAGGAAAGAAGGCAAGAAAGGATATGGGTAAGCACTTGCATTCTCTCCCTTTAATTATTACATAGTAGGTGCTCAATAAAGAGCAACTATTACAGTTTTTTAGGACAACAGCCCTGTTTGTTTCTGTGAAGCCTAGTATTGGCCTTGCAGTTTAACACCTTTTTTGAGCTCCTACTATATGACAAGTGCTTTCAGGTACAGGATCATAATCTGATTTTTAAAGGAACCCTGTAGGGGCCCCTGGGTGTCTCAGTCAGTTAAGTGTCAGACTCTTGGCTTCAGCTCAGGTCATGATCTCACAGTTTATGAGCTCAAGCCCCACACTGGGATCTGCACTGACATTGATGAGCTTGCTTGGGATTCTTTCTCTCTCCCTCTCTCTGCCCTTCTCCAACTCTCACTGTCTCTGTCTCTCTCAAAATAAATAAATAAAACTTAAAAAAATAAAAAATAAAAGAACCCTGTAACCCCCCAAAGGAAAGGTTCACCCATCTTCACTCAGTAGCACATTTCTGCACTGCTCTTTGCAAAACCCTCTATAATCTCAGCAGGTGAGAATTAGCTCCTTCTTTTTGCTGTATGGTCAGTATCTTAACTTTGGAGTCTCTATTATATACCACCTGACTGAATGTGCCTGAACACCTGCACTGTGCTGTTGGGCACAGCAAAAAAACCAAGATTGCCTTCTGGGGAAACTACACAAGTTAGAGACATCAGAAGGATGATGAATTATTTTTTTTTTCTTTGTTAGTACAGTGTGTTAGGTTAAGGAACTAGTCCTTGCCATCTCAATTCCTCCTGCCTCCTAGGACTTCCAGGGTGATAGGAATTCAGAGTCAGGATTTATAGATATTTGCTTACACAGTGATTTCCATGCTCTTGCCCCATGTATCTCTTAAGAGGGAGTCTTTGATTTTTGTCCACCTAGATATGCTCACTCATTGGCATGTCTTTTCAGTGGCTAGTCCCAAATATGACATGCCATTAAAATCCTACTGCAGATATCAAGGTGGTTCCAAAAACTTCTCTTATTTCAGGTTTACATTCCAAGAACCAGTATGCTCTGTGCCTATTCACACTCGGCTCACAAGCATGCTTATAAAACACGTTGAGAGTGTGGTGAAGAAGCCCATCAGGGAACGGCCGTGTAGCTAAACTCCACTGTTAAAAGAGAAGGGGGTGTAGCAGAGGGATCCCATGGTGAAGGTCATCCAGGAGATACCTGCAGGGAATTGGAATACTCTGAGTCAGAGGGCAGATAGGTGATCCTGGAAAGTCTGTTCCACTGGGAACACAGTGCACCATCCAGAGCAGGATTCACTGAAGAGCCAGCTGGCCAGCAGGCCAGGTTCCAGAGTTGGACAGGAGGGCAACTGGGGAAGATTCAGGGGATGGGCACCATAATGTGGGCAAGTGTCGGGACTGTACACATGTGTCAGTTACTGAGCAGAGGCAGCTCTCAAGGAACCCTGGGGTGAGGTAGCAGTGCTCTGTGTAAATGAACCCCACAGACAACCCCCAAATTGCATGTGATTTTCATGTTCACATTCCTTCTTTATATATATCTGTTTTTCAATGTTTGGCTGCAAGGTCCTTCTTTTAACCCCTGAGAAGCATTATGGGGTAATATGAAGAGAAATGAGTTAACAGAATGTTAGGGAGGAGTAGAATAGCACAGGAGAATGCTAGAAGAATCCAAAACAGAAGGTCTAGTTCCAACTCTGTACATAAGCCTGCGAATTTGTGCACATTCACAAACTTTCTAAGCCTTATGTTCTTCATCTGTGAAGTGGGCTTGATAAGCCTTATGTTATATGTGTGACTGTTACAAAGTATGTATTTTATGTAAAACACATGGCACAGTGCATGGTATACATTGGGTTTTTGATGACTGGATGTTATTACCATGATTATTTTGACTGCAGACTTCAGGGCCTTCCTCTCTGGGATTTGTTTACCAGGAGATGCCAGAGAATATGTAGCACTCTAGGACGTGGCATAGCAAACCAGACCAAATGACTGCTTAAGAAGAAAACGTTGGTAAATCAAACCCAGTAGAGGATAGATTATTTTATTTGGGCATGGGGGACTATTTCTCAAGTGAATGCAACTCATAATTCCTAGAATTTGTGTCAAGGACCAACTCCATCCCTCCTTCCCAGTTGCCCTTCCAATAACCCATCCCTATCTTCATTCACTTATCTCCTCCAAAAATCTAGGTATTGCTTAGAGCTTGCCAAACTATATTGAATATAACTTATTCAGTGAATGGTATAGGCTCTGGATCTCCAAGCATAGTGCCAGCCCAGTGGCTTTTGGTCTCACCTCAAGGAAGTATCACCCTTATTTCTCAAAAACTCCTTGAAGATGGTGTTCATAAAGCACCTAATTTGTGCATTGTGTTCAACTGCACTTGGATAAGAATGCAGGCTATCTTCCATTCTTGCTCCAGGTGGGATCTGGTTAGCCCATAATCCCAAAGCAGCTGCTAAGAATAGTTTTCCATCCTTGGCTTTAGTCTCTCAACCTGACCTCTGCTCACCACCCTCATAGCCTCAGCTAATATACTATAGCTTAATTTATAATTACCTCCCAGTGAAAGACTTGCAATTGCCCAAGGTCACAGCTTGTTTTATTTTGGGACATTTAAACTTGACTGCCTTCATATGGACCCCCCCAACTCTTCATTCCTTTTTACTTGTTCTTTTGGTATTAAAGGATACCTACTATTGTGTATACATGATTGTTTATCCTAGCATCTAAAATTCTATGGGAAGGTAGTGAGTCTTGTTTATCCTGGCATCCCCACTACTAATGCAGTGCTTTCCAAAATGCAGATGGTGAACTAATATTTGGGGAATAAATAAGCCTGTGTACATGGAATGTAATTTATTAAGGTTTATTTCTCATACATCCTTTTTTTTTTTAATTGAGAGAGAGAATGAGTGAGAGAGGGGGTAGAGGAGAGAGAGAGACAGTGAGTGAATCTTAAGCAGGCTCCATGCTCAGCGTGGAGTCCAATGCAGGCTTCCATCCCACACCCTGGGATTACAGCCTGAGGCGAAATCAAGAGTCAGAGCTCAACTGACTGAGCCACCCATGTGCTCCTCTCATATATTCTTAAGTAATCTAAGCAAATGCATGTATAGGTCAGTTAATTTTATAGAATGGCAGATTAAAAGGATTAAGGAAAGCTAAGAATTGACCGTCTTGATCCCAATTATTTTACTACTGAGTTCTTTGATAGTTCCAAAGAAATGCCTATTTGAATATCATTTGTTTTCCAGATCACAAAACAAGATGACCAGGTTTATAAATTTGTTTTACAAACAAACAAAACTTGAATTGTTAAATTTCATAAGTGGCATTAAATGTATGGCCAGTGTCATTCATAAACTTAGATCCTAGAGCTAATAAAATGTTACATTAAAGGGAACAACATTTGAAAATGAACTCTCCCTTCCATGAAGAAGATAAACCTCCATGTTAGTCATAAAAGGGCACAGAGATGTTATACATTGTGTTCCCTACAGCCACACCCTAGCCCTCCACTACTTAGAAGACCAATTGTTAATTTTAATGACAAAGTGAAGAATCTGCCTCTGGCTTCACTAGGGGTGGGAGCTGCTACTGGATCTGGCACTGGAATGAGCACTATCCAAGGCAGTAGTGCCGGCCCTGCTTGGACTCCAGTTAAGGCTCTCTCTGCTTCATCTCTCAAAGCCTCCTCATTTTGGGATGGGAAGCATCTGGGGTCAGACTCATGGATCTTGGTCAGAAACTCTAGCACTTTCATCTTGCTGGTTTCAGTGTGGGCTCTGCGGCCACAAAGGAATTCATAGCGTGGAAGATCAATGTTCGGCACCTGGTGGTACTCCAGGTATTTTTTGCACCAAATATTTGGTGATGAACTTCCTGGGCTCCCCCCAAAATGGAGTGTTTCCTCCCAGAACATAAATCCATCATATTCACCACTTCCCAGACCTCCTCCTCAGTGGCACAATTGACCTTCATGCGGATCACACTGAGGACAGTTATCAGAAGGCTGGCTTTGGGCATGCTCTCTTCACCACGGAGCCTCACATCGTAAGCGAGGCCTAATTTGTTGACAAGGGCATAACCATCGCCGGTAGGGTCCACCTTCTTCATATCAACACCAAAGATCAGCTCCATGCACTCAGAGGCTCTCCTGAGGATCTCAAGGAAGTTGTCCTTGCACTCTTTGATGACAACATCAATCACGTTTGCCTTTGTGATGGGCTCTTTCATTTGATACTTGTGCAGCAGGAACTGCACCAACAAAGTCACCTTCTCATTGAGAGGGTCTACAGGCAAGTTCTCAGTGTCTGACAGGGCCTTTGATGAAGCAGCTGAACTATTTTCCTTTCCTTGGCTGGTGGAGCTCTCATCTGATTTGCTTGGTGAGATGGCTGTGATGACAGTGTCAGATGAGTAGGCACTCTGAGGACTCTGGGAAGTACTGGGTATACCAGCAGGCAGAACTTCCTCCATGTTGCCAGGCATTAGAGGACAAGTGGGGAGAGAGGTCCCCTCCACAGCCTTGGAGACCTGTGTTGCCTCAAGGCCTTGGATCTCATTGTGGGCATAGTGTTGTTCCTGTGTGCAACAGGGAATCTCCTGATCCTGAGACATGCTCACTAATGGTGGTGGTAGCAGGCAGGAATGTGGGCAGGAGGGTGGATGATAGGGGACCATAACCTAGGAATAAAGGGAGGATGTGAGTGGCCACATCTGGTAAACTCAGCTGTGGCAGCTCTGATGAACAGTGCCTCCACCTTCCCTGAGAACAGTACTCTAGAGCCCCACAGACCTCCTGTGGTGTCCTGTAAGAAGCTGGAGGAGGAAGTGAAAAGGCTCCTCAGGGCGCAGCCAGCCAACACAGCCAAGGATTCCCACAGCTGGCAACAGGACAGGTAGGATCCGTTAGGCTCTGTGGATCGTAGGCTCTGTAGGATCTTTTCTGTTTTAGAGTAGTCCGTTTTGTCTTTCTTCAAAATCCTCCCTGTGACCCCAGGGAGGATCTGGGACTACTCCCTCTATAGACCCAAGGATTATCACCTCAGAAAGAGACCTTAATTTCCTTGAGTCACTTCAATTGAAAAGCAAGGGTCTGCCTCTGACAGCTCTTCTCAGAAACTCTCAGCCAGGAAAGTCACTGGGGTGACAGATACCGGGGGAAAAGAAATAAGGGGGTGCCTCATTAGGCTACGCCTTCCTGGGCCTCCCAGAGGTGATAGAGGAAGCCAGCTGTCTGTTGGGGCTCTGTTATTCTTTTTTAAATGTTTTATTTATTTATTTTGAGAAAGAGAGAGCACCCCAAGCTGTCTCCGTGCTGGCAGTGAAGTGTCTGATGCGGGTCTCAAACTCATGAACCACGAGATCATGACCTAAGCTGAAATCAAGAGTCTGATTCTTAACTGACTGAGGCACCCAGGTGCCCTGGGGGCACTGTTGTTCTGGCGTGTGTGGTTCCCTCTATCCTCAGGGTCATAACTTTGACCTTGACAGAGACCAAGATACTTAGTCTGCTAACTTGAGACAACAGCCTTCAGACTCCCAAAGCCAAAGTCAGAAAACACCAAAGTCTGATAGTTGTTGCAGGGCCTACCCAGTGTGAAAACAGAAACAGGGCTCTGTAGAGCCTGTGCTATTCTGGAGTGTCTGATTCCTCATAGTCCCTACTCAGAATCTTACTTGGATTCCTAGCAGGAGGCCTGGGATTCCCTCTTCTGTTTACTTGAAGCTGCACCTCTCAAACAATCTCCTCACCACCCTCACACAGTCAGGGTAGGTCACTCCTGGCCACCCCCTCCTCTTCCCAGGGCTGATACCCATTCTGAGGGGCCTTCTCCTTTCTAGTGAAGAGATGTCCTCATTCCTCTCTTAGCATCTTACCTTGACTCCTGGCAGGGTCTGCGACTCCTCTGTCTGCTCCAAAGAACAGGCGTTACCTTCCTACAAACTCAAAGTCACAGGGTAACCCAGTCCGACAGCTATTCCAGTGCATCCCAGCATGCATGGTAGGGACTGGGCTCTTATCTAGGGGATCCCTCTGCTGTGAGGTGGGTAGTTGCATCAGTCCCCACTCAGAGCCTTATGCTGAGAGCTGGCAGACCTGCCATTTCTCCCTCTGCTGAGACCTCCCTCAGAACAAAGTACTTACCACCCTTCGATTCTCCAGAGTCACTGGATACTAATTCCAGCTACTCCTGCCCAACACCTCCTGCGGTGACAATAGGGTTCAGGGTCTGTACAGTCCCTTCCCATGTGGACTAGATGTTCCCGCAGTCTTCACTCAGCATCGTACCTTAAATGTGGTACCTTAAATGACTCCTCTGTTCGCTGGAGGCTGCACTCAAGACTCCTGAGGAAAACTAAGGGGAAGGGGCTTCCAGGCCTGCCCTCTCTCCACCTCCAGCTCTGCCTTGACCCATCCACAGCTGACAGCAGAGCTCTAAGGGGCCCCTCCATGCTGGCAGAAGGATCCCCTCAGTCCTCACTCAGTCGTGTCCCTCTGTTGACTTGTGGCCATGCCCTCAGACAGAGGCTCTCACCACCCTCAGATTCCTGAGGCCTCAGTTAGTGGATGCCTCAGGCTGACAGTTATTCCATGGGTTTCCTGGGATGACAAAAGGGACAGGGCTTTACTCAGTGGGGTCCCTCTATTCTGGTGTTGTTGGTTCCCTCATTCAGTATGCTCACGTTGACACTAGACCAGTCTTAGGACTGCTGATAGAGGCCATGCCTTTCACTACTGGCCTTCATCAGCCATACTTTGAAAGTGGAAGTTAGGGAACTTCCCTTTCCCTCCTGCTCCCAGTCCCCTCCTCTGCCCACTCCCCTGTGGTGCCCGGGTCCTCCCAAGGAAAACAGCAGGAGTAAGGTTCTGTGGGGCTCCTTATATTCTGGAGTACTTAACCTCACTCAGTGTCTGCACCTGGAATCCCTTGAGGACTAGTGATTCCTCTCTCCACTGAACTGAGGTTGTGCTCCATATACCCAGACCCTCATCACTGTCAGACTCCCAAGAGTGTGAAGCCTGAAGGAGCCTCTGATAGTTACCCTGGGGCTTCCCATTGCCAACAATGATGGTGGAACTCTTAGAGCTCCCTCCATTCTGGAATCAGGGGTGCCCTCTGTCTCAATCTGGAACTCCTCCCTCTGCTGACCTAAGACCACACCCCCTTAACTCATGGCCCTCATTGCCTTTAGAATATTGAGGCCAAAGTCAGGGGATGCCACTTCTAGACACCCCTCTGCCGGGAGTCTACCAGGGTTGACAGCAGGAAAGGAGCTTTATGGGGTCCTTCTCTTCTGCGGCAAATGGTTACTGTAGTTCACGTAGGGTTGATATCTTGGCTCCAGTCTTTTTGATTAATTACTTCCTAAGCAATGCCACCCCCTTGCCAATCTGCATTTGCCCCACTGACTCTCCTAGAGGTTGGGTCCAAGTTCCAGGCTAGACCACTAGGTGGTGAAGCTTCAGCACAGCACATAAAAACACACACTTTCCCAAGGGGTCCTTTCTCCAGACAGTTCGGAACCTTCTGTCCTAAAAGACTCATTTTTTATAGGGAGCTTCGAATAGACACATATGGGGCATAGAGAGGTGTTGAAGTGTTTTGCAAATAATTTGTTATTGATCAGAGTTAAAATACTAGAGTTGTGTTCTATGACTATGTTTTCACTTCAAACATTTCAAACGATACAGTCAAAACAAAATTCTCTCTTGCTTTTTCAATCCACTCTGCCACCTGTACCATCATATAACCTTATTATGAATAAATTTTGTATGGGTATAATTTTGCATTTGATTTACATAAATTTATGTAAATTATATAACTAACAATAAAGTACATATTGTTTTGCTACTTGCCTTTTCATTCAGTTAATCTGTCTTGAGGAGTGTTCCATATCAGTATTCAGAGTGGCCCTAAAGTTTGGAAAGCCAGATAATATTATTTTATTGTTATTTGAAAATTAAAGATGTCCTTGATGGCATTCTATATATTGCCTGTATTTTTAGACTCTATAAACAGGTTATATATAGATCTGCCATTTTTTTCTTTAAAAAGTAAAATAGATGGCTATCTCTCCATTTAAAACTCTCATGCATATTTGTCTTCAGATATTTTCATGAATTGAAAGAGTGTTGAGATATATAGTTAGTGTGCTAGGAATTGCACCTAAGGATTAGTAGGCCATTCTTTGCATGGGCCAGGGGAAATGTGAGAAACATAAAAGGTTGAGTATTGCTATACTGTACCTTTGTATTTTTGTTTTATAGGCTTAACTCTGTAGTTTTATTTTTTTTATCTTCAAGGTCAGTCCACAAAGCTTTATTGATCACAGTGATGAAATACACAGGAATGTATCAGAAAGCACATATGAAACAGCATAACCTATACTGATGTCCAAAGGCCCCAACACAAGAGCCAGTGAGGGATTTCCCATTTGCTCTTCGAGAGCTTATGGTTTTATTGCTGTGCTGTCTTTGGGTAAAATGATGTCATCACCTAATCCATCTTGCTATGGAATCATTTTGAAGCACTATGAATTTGTTTATTTTACATTTCTTTTCTGAGACAAATAGGAGAGTAAAACAGAATCCACCTTCTGTGCCTGCATTTGATTCCTTTTATCTACTCTCGTGGACTCTATTATTAGCATAAATTAGATTTAATTTCTCCATTTCTTACATATATTTACATAGATTTAATTTCTCTGGGAGTTTGAAGAAAAAGATTATTCATGGGCTACATGGAACTAATGCCTTCTAGAATTTTAATGCTTCTACATTTTGTCTAGTATATTAGTTCGTGCTTTGTCTCATTTCAAAGCAAATGTACTTTAAAATGGGTAAATTTTGAATTATACTGCTTAATGTGATATATTTTAATAGCATATTAAATAAGGTTGACAGCGGCCATGCTATCCATTAGGTCAAAAGGCTGAAATAGAAGTGTTTTTTTCTTTAAACATGTAACGTGGGTTTGTAATCACAGTTGTTCTAATATGTTCTGTGTTCTATAAGACATGGCAGTTGTTACTGAAAATCTGTTATATGGAGAAAAGTTACTTAAAGCATTAAATTCCTTTCTCTCGGTTACTAAGATTGATAAAATCTCAAAATATGGATACTGTTTATATAAAGCCTATTGTTTAAATAGTCCGTGATTGTTTTGTGTCCTAAAATGGCCTGGTGCATACTATATTCAATATGCACATGTCTCATGGACAAATAGCATGTATCTTTCAAAGGAAGTTGATATCCAAACAGATGAAATGACTTGGCCAAGGTCGTTAAAGAAAGTACACACACATTTAACTGATTAAACAGTTAGGTCAAATGATTTATTTTAATTCCATATTCATAACATGATCTAAAACTTTAATAACATGCCCCCATTATATTGTGGTTAAATTCTGGATAAAGTTACAGTGAAACATCTATAGATCTATAGAAGCAGACCTTCTAAGAAAATTTGTGTTGAAGTGTGCCCAGGGTAAAGCCAGTAAGAAAGTAAAGGCAGCATGAAAGAGAAGAAGCAGCAGCCAAGCAAAAATACAGTGTTAGGTGAGGTCTCAGCCAGATCTTGTGGGGAGCTCTAGAGCATAAGTTCAACTTCAGA